GAATATAGGACAATATAATGGAATCTAAAGGAAATGCTGCCCCCTGGTGGGTCAATGCGGTATTCAAGGCTCAAGGGGGAATATAGGACAATATAATGGAATCTAAAGGAAATGCTGCCCCCTGGTGGCTCCAATGAGATACACCATTGTAGGCTATATGTTTGGAATAGGGCAATATAGTGGAATCTATAAAAATACTGCTTCCTGGTGGATCAACGTGGTATTGGAGTCAATATGGAAAATTCCAGTGCATTCCACTATATTGTCCTAATTTACCTACCGAGCCTGCAACCAGGGGCCAATATCTCCTATAGGTCCAATGTGTTTCCCTGCATTCCCCTTTGTACGGGTATTCCTAGAACAGTAGGAATATTACTGCTGGAACATCTCTTCACTCCAGTTGTTTTCCAGATAAATTGTTTCATCTAAAAACAAACGTGAGAGTAAGAAATGCACTTCCTAGGAGTTCTGCAAATATCCTAGAAACTTTAGGAAACAGCGTTCCAAGGGAGGAATGTAGATAATTGCACTGCAGATAGAAACCCTGGAGGGTCACCCTGGTAGACGACCCCATTGTGCAATATATACCATTACATTGCTCTATTTAACCCATTGAGCCTGCAATTCCACACTGAGCCACCAGGGGCTACCATTTCCCGCACTGTGGATTCCGGGAGGTATTGCAGTCTCAATACGGAACAACGGGGAATACAACTGGATCTATAGAAAATACTGCCCTCTTGTGGCTGAAGGAGCTATTGCAGGCTGAGTGGGGGAAAATAGGGCAATATAATGGAATCTATGGGAAGCTCTGTCCCCTGGTGGCTCAGTGATTTATTGCAGGCCCAACGGGGGAAATAGGGCAACATGAGATCTATAGGAAATACTATCCATAGGAAATTGATAGGAAATAACTAGTGGGTCAATGACAAATTGTAGGCTTTACAGGAATATAGGACAATACAATGGAATCTATAGGAAATACTGCCCTCGATGGCTCAATCAGGTATTGATGGTACAATATGGACAGTAGGGCAATACTGTATAATGGATTCTATAGGAAATACTGCTTCCTGGTGGCTCAGTATTGTATTGGAGTCTCAATATGTTAAAGTCCTATAGATTCCATTACATTGGCCTATTTTCGCCAGTCGGCAATACGTGACTGAACCACCAGGGGGCAGAACTTCCTATAGGCTCCATTACATTGCCCTATTTTCCCCATTGAGCCTTGAATGCCTCATTGAGCCACCAGGGGGCAGTATTTCCTATAGGCTCCATTACATTGCCCTATTTTCCCCATTGAGCCTTGAATGCCTCATTGAGCCACCAGGGGGCAGTATTTCCTATAGGCTCCATTACATTGCCCTATTTTCCCCATTGAGCCTTGAATGCCTCATTGAGCCACCAGGGGGCAGTATTTCCTATAGGCTCCATTACATTGCCCTATTTTCCCCATTGAGCCTTGAATGCCTCATTGAGCCACCAGGGGGCAGTATTTCCTATAGGCTCCATTGTATTGCCCTATATAACAAAAAAATCAACAGAAGAGGAACAAGCAGTCAAGAAATGCACCACAGGCTAGTACAGTGGTACCTCGGGTCACGAACGCTTCTGTTCACGACCAATTCGGGTCACGAACAGCTCCGCTTGCAAAATTTTGCTTCCGTTCGCGAACGCCGGATTGGGTGACGAACAGGATCCGCAGCCATCCTCCCTCCTGTGACACGTGGCTTCCTGTAGGGGGGGGGACTCTCCCACAAAGAAATAACCGCCTCCCCACCCGCCTTCCTGTCCTCCACGCCAGAAGTCACCTCGAGCAAGGTTAGCGCTCTTTGTACTGTATTTTCATATTTTTGCAGTTTAAAAAAAAACACATATGGTTCAGAATGGATTAACTGTAATTACATTGAACCTTATGGGAAAATTTGATTTGGGACGCGACCAAAATCGGAGGGGTCAGAACGGATTAACCGTAT